GCACAGCCTAGACAAGGTGAGTGTGAGCACAGCCTAGACAAGATGAGTGTGTGAGCACAGCCTAGACAAGGTGTGAGCACAGCCTAGACAAGATGAGTGTGTGAGCACAGCCTAGACAAGGTGAGTGTGAGCACAGCCTAGACAAGGTGTGAGCACAGCCTAGACAAGGTGAGTGTGAGCACAGCCTAGACAAGGTGAGTGTGAGCACAGCCTAGACAAGGTGAGTGTGAGCACTCCTTGAAGTGATGGTGGGAGTTTCTCAGGCAAGTGGAGGCATGCCTCTCATGACGTGAGAACAGTTCCCAAGGCTAAAGGGACAGACTTCAGAGATTTGTTTAGCAGTTAATGTGAAATACATTGAGGAAAAAGGCTTTTGAGGAATATTCTGGACTGTTCAGTGAGGTCTAGAAATGGAATTAGATTTTGAAATAGAAGATTTTAAAATGTATTTCTGTGATATACTTGCGTTGTGTAACTTCTTGGCCTAGAAAAAAGAAATATATAATGTTTCATGAATTAAAAGAAAATTGGAGGTTTCGGGGACTATGACTCTATAGTATAGTTTAATAATTGCTAGTAAGTTTCTTCTTATCTTATTGACTTGGCATATTCAGAATTCAGAAGTGGACAACGCAAGAAACATAAACCTTACCACCAAGAAACAGCCATCACAAATACCGTATTACAGATGGCCGTCATCTCCTGCACTTGGGTGGCGCTCACCTTTTCCCATGAAGGCTGTGTAAGTAACCCATTTGCAGTTACTTCTGATAGGCATTTTATTGGAACAAGTGTCATATCAGTGTTTCCTAAAGGAAATAATATAGCATGCAAAGTAAACAATTGCAAATGGGAAAAGCGAAGTAGCTTTACTTTCTCTGTTATAAAAATGTTCAGTTTGTAATTACCTTATAGTATCAGTGCATTGCATCGCTCATAATTAAATACTGAAAAGTATTGGGACACATTTGTTACTTTTTCTCAGCAGGCAGAATCAAAAGATCCGACCTCCATCCCCTCTACCAGTCTCATCAAAACTATCAACGAAGACTTCTCTATCGTATAAAATAACCCCAGTTCAGAATATCCTGTATGTGCCAAATGCATTAGGCACAATAACAAAGACAAAAAAACTCACTCAAAAGCGTATGATCAACAGAGGTAAATTCTTTCCATAAGTATTTTAGCAACACAAAAATCTTGACGTACTTGAGAATCATCATAATTTTATTCCCTAGTTGATGGGGCTTTGGGAGTGGTCTTTCTTTTAGATAAAGAGAATTAACCAAGCACTGGTTCATTGAAATGTTGCTTCTCTGCTTGCTTATCCGCCCCTCTGTTTGGAAACTTCGTTTTTTGGAGCCATTGCTAGAAGCTTAAGTTGGATGAGAGGGTTGAGCTTTGATCCTTGTGGGCCCTTCTAGCTCAGATATTGGCTTGTTCTTTGTAGTATGAGGGGGAGTGGGCTGTGTCCTGCTGCCCGGCTAGCTTAACCCCTGAAATAACCACACAGAAATTGTATTAATTTAATTACTGCCTGGTCCATTAGCTCTAGTCTCTTATTGGCTAACTCTCACCCATTTCTACTAATCTGTATGTCACCACGGGGTCATGGCTTACCGGGAAAGCTTCAGCATGTCTGACCTGGCAGCTTCATGGCAGCTCGGCTCTATCTGCTGCTTTTTTCCTCCCAGAATACAGTTCTGTCTTCTCTGCCTATCTAAGTTCTTCCCTATCAGGCCAAGCAGTTTCTTTATTGATTAACCAATGAAAGCAACACAAATACTGAAAGGCCTCCTACACCAGTTCTTAGAGAGTTTATCCAGCTACATGTGCTTGAATAACTTTTCATCAGATGTAGGCCAGGTTCCATGTACATACATGACTTGGGACATGTCCCATTTGTGCTGTACCCATGTTCACACTGTTACTTTGCCGGTAACGTGCATTTTTACACATGTCAGAATTACTTGGCCTCATATGTGCTGAGAATTCTGTTATTAAAAGAAATTCCAGTGAATTATCTGTATCAAATGATCTTTTGATGATGAATTAATCATTCTTAGTGTCGACAAATTTCATTTCTATATAGTTTATCTAAACAACAAAATTAGTTATATAAACTTAATATTATAATATTCCTCCATGTTGAGCCAGCACTCAGGAGGCAGAAGCAAATGGATCATTGTGAGTTCGAGGCCAGCCTGGTCTACAGAGTAAGTTCCAGGACAACAAATAGTGAGAAGGGAGAGACAGAGACAGAGAGATAGATAGATCCATGTAAAATATACCTTATTTTAATGATAGTATTGACTTCTTTTGTTACCTACAGCTATCACTGTATGGTAACCACATGTATATGGGGTTGTCAAAGTTTAGGTAAACAGCAATAGAAATGATGTACAAATTCCACACATATACCAAATATTATTTGATTTGTTGAGTATTTAAAAGTTTTTACTCTTCATTTGGATCAGGCATAAACTTGGCTTCAGCATATTTTAGTCTTTCATCATAGAGCCCCGGATTTACCTGTCTCTAACCAGTTAAGCAAAGTAGAAGTACATCATTGCATTTTGAATATTTCAATATGCATTTGTTTGAGAGACAACATGCTAATATTTTGTTAGGGATGAGCTGGCATTGTGAACAACTCCCCTGATTAGCTTGTGATTAATTTTGGTCTGTGCTCATATGTTTTTAATGTTTGGGAGGGTCTCATTTATTTATTTGTGGTCTTGATAGGAAATGGATTCCCTAATCAACTGTTTCACATGTTTCTTTAAACTAGAATCTGGTAATAAAAGTGTGCCAAGCAGTGAAACGGCCATGAAAGTTTCGATAGAGATACACCATGCTGCTTATGAACAAAAAGGCAAAAAGGAGAATGAAAGAAACCAGCAAGAGACAAACCAAAGGTCAGCACAGAATAACCCTTCTCTCCCTAATCCTTGGTGGGAGTCCGAACTTTTTTTGCCCTCAAATTCTAGGTTTCAAAATGGCAATTAACTGTTTTCTATGGTGAGAAGTCAATCATTGTTTTCTAGTTAAGTAAAGACAGGAAGAAAAGCCAGGCAGTGGTGGCGCACGTCTTTAATCCCAGCACTCAGGAGGCAGAGGCAGGCGGATCTCTGTGAGTTTGAGGTCAGCCTGGTCTATAAGAGCTAATTCTAGGACAGCCAGGGCTACATAGAGAAACCCCGTCTCAAACCTCTCCCCTTTCTAAAAATAGAAAACACTTAGAAAGGTGTTCTAATTGGCTCCGCGGAGTGGTAACATCTCAGCTCCTAGATATTTCTGTTTACCTTCACTGGAATGACAGAGGGGCAGGGGTTGGTGGGGAGACAGATACACTGAGATTCATCTCTATGTCGCCAACATCTCATATAGCCAATTGAATTAGTTCTAGAAGGTTGTTCCTGACAACAGACAAAGAACATCTGAACTTGAAATGTTCTTGCTTGGTCATCTTTAGACCCATTTTGTGTTATGTCTTGTAAACCCCTGTCCACTGCAGACAAAGGATACTGTAGGGCTGACTCTATTTCCAAGTACCAAGTGTTTAAAGCACAGTTGCTTGGGAAAAAGAGGAAGGAGATACTTTGAACAGGAAACAGTTTGAAACCTGGGCATTATTGTTCCTTGTCTTCTGCAAACAGCCGATTTAGCATTTGAAAGCACTGACTCCTGACACACCATTAGACCCTCCTCCAGATTACCTGTCATCATCCCTAGGTGAGATTAGGTGTGTTCACACTTAAGACCTTAAAGAATCTGTCTCTAACATGATTGAAGTGCTTGCTTATGTGCACATATGTAGTCAAGTACTTCTTAGAAATCAATTAGTACGCCCAAAGGTCTCATTTGTAAAGGGTGACTCTTGAATAGCAAGAAAGCTATCTTCCAGAAATGTAATTGTATTACTATATCCAAATAATTTCACCATAAATGCTTCCATAGTCCTGCAAACTATGTATGCTATCAGCTAAGAAAAATACTAACGTTATTTAAATACCCTCAGAATTTCTAGAAAATCAGAAGGTATGGTAGAGAGAGTGGATAAAGTCCCAGTAGAAGAATTCTCACCACAAAAAAATGAGCAGCAAAAAAAAGATCTGACAAGGAGACATTTTGAACCACCGGAAGAACAGAAAGAACAGCTACAGGTTTGTAGCCTTGCCATTGCCACTTCTGCTCAGAGAACCTGCTTAGAAAGTGCAGTTGTGAGCCGGGCGTGGTGACGCATGCCTTTAATCCCAGCACTCGGGAGGCAGAGGCAGGCGGATCTCTGTGAGTTCGGAGCCAGCCTGATCTACAATAGCTAGTTCCAGGACAGGCTCCAAAGCTACAGAGAAAATTTGTCTTGAAAAACCAAAATAAGAAATAAAAGAAAAAGGAAAGAAAGAAAGAGCAGTTGCAATGCAAAACCGCAATCACTTCTTTGCAGCCTCCAAAACCTACAGGGCCATAGCCGATTTCTGTTCCCAGCTTTAGTAGATCATTCCTCAGAACTGGTTACATCTAAATCTCCTTAAATCGCTGTGCATGTTTGTATTGCTTGGCAGGGAACCCTCACAAATGTTCCCATAGCTTTTGAGGAATGTAAGAAAGTTGACCCCTTGCTGTGTTAATACCTCAAAAACATGCGCTTTGAGAGCAGTGCTTCTCAACCTGTGGGTCACAGCCCCTTTGGCAGTCAAAGGGTCCTTTCACGGGGCTTTCATCAAAAAACACAGAGATTTACATTGCAATGCGTAACAGTAGCAAAGTTACAGTTAAGTAGCAATGAAAGTAATGTTCTGGTTGGGGTCACTGCGACATGAGGAACTGTGTTAAAGGGTCGCAGCAGTAGGAAGGTTGAGAACCCCTGATTTAAGGTAAGGCAGGCACATGTTCAGATGGCTGAAACATTTCAGACAACATCGGCCTCAATCTGTGTTTTTGAACAGTCTTTGAAAATAGATAATAAATGTGATAAATGGCCACCAGCCTTGCAACTATTTGATTTTTAAGCTAAAAAACTTGTCATTCAGATATTTTGAAATTAATGATGTTTTTGTACCAATTTTCTAGAAAGGGGACAAGACCGTGATGAAATCCCAGGACAGTACTGAAAGTAGACAGAATGAACAGGAAAGAATTATGTTACAAAATTTGCAAGAAAGATTAGAAAGGAAAAAGGTAATTCTCTGTTTCATGTGCTTTATGTTAATGGTGGGTGCAAGCTAGCAACATATTTCTCTGAAAATCTTCAACCAGGTATGTGTTAGTCCCTAGCTGTCTGCCCACTGTGGTTGTTTATCCTAAGGTGCTGACTTCTATACAGGAAGCTATCTTCTTACTGGTGGTATTTTGTACCTCATGGTTGGCATTGCAGCAATGCCTCAATATATCAAACCCGTAGAATCAACGTTCCTTTTAGCAGGATGACTCCAGACTGACAGAGGTTAGTAGAAGTTAGAGTTTCTTCTAAACTGGGCTGTAGCTGGCACTCCATGTGGTGGGAAGAAGTGGAGGCCTCTTAGAAAGGCCTGTGTTTGGATTGTTTATAAGGTAGGACCCGATTTTCTGCAACCCACATGGTTTATCTAGAAGTCCTTGTCTGCCCTGGATTACTGCCAGGTCTCTCTCACTCTGAGGCAGTCAACAGGCCACAGCTCTCCTCACCTTATGTCGTGGAGAGAATTCTTATCCCACCCTAGAGTACATCCTCCTTCTTCAGCCTTCTGTTGCCTTAGGAACAAGATCTCTTAGAGCCATAGCATCATTGAAGTGTATTACTTTCATTAATGTTTGCTGCAGCCATGGTCTTGGAGTTCTAATTAGTTTGCAGCGATATGTGTTGAGTCTCACTGAAAGTAGTCTGTGTAAAAAGCAGAACACGAAATTACCATTTGAGTATCTCTGTTATGATAGGAAGAGTAATTGCTGCCGTTCACAGTATATTATAGCTGAGACCAGCAACAGAAGAGAACCCCAGCTGCTGCCCCAAGACTTTCATTAAGTCTGGGGTTTGGGGACAATCCCAGGCATTGCCTGCTATATAGTGGGGGTAATCACTTTTTTTTTTTTTGAAATCTCTTTTACGTTTTCATTTCCCTTTGACTAGAGAGTTGAGGAAATAATGAAGCGGACAAGGAAGACAGATGTGAATACCTCAAAGGTAGTCTCCACCCACCAGCCTGCATACGACTTCCTCTCGCTTCCTGCTCTTGGCATCCCTTCATTTTGACCAGTCTGGTGATATTAAAGTCTGGTTGCAACTTTGCAATTCCCTGGTCCTTAAAAGCCCAGAGCTTGTCTTTCTAGCTCTAGTTTGCTTTCATGTTCTCGTGTGAAATGCTTGCTTGGGTCTTCTTGCCTAAAACAGCGAGGCTGGCTTGTCTTTCTCCTAATTTTTTAGCCAGTTCCTGGAATGTTCTAGATTCTGCTTGTGTTGTTGTTTGAATTCGTAGCGCTCTCCTCTCCCAATCTGTGCCTCGTCATATTGTCATTTGCTGTTGGGGAGATGCTCCCAGTGCTAATGTTGAATTTATCAGCATCTTCAGCTAGCTTAAGCACTTTTTACACGCTTCCTGAACACTTGGACATCTGTCTCTTGTGTCACCTGCCTTCTCTTACTGATTTACAGGAGTTTTTACCTACTCTGAGCAGGAGTCCTTTGGAGGTATGTGTTCCTATCTTTTAATAGCTTTTTGTGAGCCAGTGCTCTTCATTTCAGCAAATGAATTTAGGCCACACCCCTTTCCAGTGACTGCTTTCCGCGTCTGTTTTCTAGTTGCCTCTCCCAACATGTCTTCCAACTATGGCACATGCACTCAAGGCTTGCTTTTCTCTACATTCGGAGCCACTGACATTTGGCTACAAACTGCTCTTTTTACTGGTCTGAGTTATCCCCACAATGTCTGATAGAAATGCCACTTATGAAAACTCTGTTGAGCCACAGCCACAAAGCTCCTTCAGCTCATTGGCCCAGGGCCTTTGACGTCAGCCGCTGCTCATGAGTTCATCTTGCTCTTTGCTGACTCTTCCCACTCTGGCTGCACTAGTATTCTGAGCAGAGGATGAATGGGAGCTGAGGGCTGTAGGCTCTGCACTCTTGGTCCAGGAAAGAGTTCATTCTTGAGTGTCGTCCTAGCTGAAAGACAGAACTAAGGCCACCAGCCCATCAAAGAGACTGATTTTTTTCTACCCTTTATTCAAAATGCCAAAAATTAGCCATTAGTCTAGTCTTTTTTTTTCTTTGAAATACTAAAATAGGATGGTTAAATACATATAATCATGATTTTCTGTGCTAACCATAGGTTTCAGAAATATCTGATAATTGCCCATCTGAAGAGGATGAAGCAGATGATGAAGGTGAAACAGAAAGTGATAAGGACTCCCTGGAGATGTTACCATCAGGTACACTTGTTCCTCATGCTTACACATAGACGCAAACACTGGTCCTATCAAAATGAGGACTGGGTTTAAGCAGTCTCATGAGAACCGAGTCAGACACAGTGACTAGAGCCACAAGCTGCTTCTGAGTCACAGGGGAGCTGCTGACAGTAAGGATATTTGAAGTAAAAGCAGATTCAAAGGCAACCAAGGGCAGGAAGCAAGGCATATGATCCTGACCTTTGACCCTTTACTAGCAAAGAAAATAGGATATTCTTTGAAGAATATCCCCTATGGCCACCTCTGAATTAAGAGTCAGGCAAATTAATGCGCATGCTGGATAACCCCTCAGCTGGCCTGCTCAGTCAGGCTTGACTGGGCCTGGTTCCCCAGAACATTGCCTGCTTGGCCCTTCTTGCCTTAGGCAGGGACATACACACACACACACACACACACACACACACACACACACACACTATCACACTAGGATTAGAGGGTTTGATTTCTCTTGTCTTTGTTGTTGAAGTTCCAACTTGAATTCTCTTCTCCCCACTCCAGGAATGAATACGGCACTTAGCAAGCTCAAAAAGTTTCACAAAAATACCAAGAGGAAGCATCAAAAGCTAGTGTTTTTGCAAGCGGGATCTGGCGAGGTTGATTCGGAGAAGAAAGTCTATTTGAATGGGAACATGAAAGCTATCAAACAAAACGACCCAAAAGAATCTACAAGTCAAGCAAAGGGCACTAAGTGAGTCACTTAGCACCTTATTTATCCAGACGAATGTGGGAGACATATGAATGCCATCCTTAGAATCCTGAGCAATATTAATTACTGCTTCATCGCTTAGTTTGTATATACCAAACATTATGTCCAGCACCCTAATTAATCCTAATGGAAACAAAATGGAGCCCACAGCAGTCTTGCTGGGTCAGGATCTTCACCTCCATCTTTTGTTGGTTTGTTTTTCAAGTCAGAGTTTCTCTGTGTGGCCCTGGCTGTCCAGGAACTTACTCTGTAGACCAGGCTGATCTCGAACTCAAGAGAGCTCTGCCTGCCTCTGCCTTCTGAGTGCTGGAACTAAGCACCACCATCTTCTACAGACAAGACAAGCAGAGCACACGAGGCTTTCGGCTTTATTCGCCAAATTCAAACCCAGATTCACGACACCAAATTGCTTGTGTTTACATAGTGAATGAATGTGGTTTCATTTATTGAGGGAATACTCAATATTCAAAACAATGAGGATATGATCTCCTCGCTTTCACTGTTATGCAGAGATTGATAATCCTCTTCTCATTTCACATATGAGTAAGCAGGCTCCAAGGTTAAGTTGAGAGAGTAGGAACTGTTTGTTGAAAAGGAACACTGCCCAGATGATAGCCTAAAACACTCTAAAGCTCTGAGGCCCACTGGAGTCGTTGTCTGCTAAGAGACTTTAAGTTGGTTCTGGTTGAAAGGGGTACCACATTCAACTCTTTCGCCTGTTCTTTAGTTGCTCCTTATCGTCTGTGCCCTTAACTGACTTTAAGAAGGGCAACAGGGATCTGCAGAGATGGTTCAGTTGGGTAAGGACACTTGTGCAAGCATTAGGAACTGAGTTCAAATCCCAACATCATACCAAAAAAGCCAGGCGGTGGTGGCGCACACCTTTAATCCCAGCACTCCAGGAGGCAGAAGCAGGTGAGTTCAAGGCCAGCCTAGTCTACAGAGCGAGTTCTAGGACAGGCTCCAAAGCCACAAAGAAAACCTTTGTTTCAAGAAACAAAAAACAAAACAAAACAAACAAAAAAAGCCAGGTGTGACCATGCACTCACCTATAACCCTAGGGATGGGATTGGGGGCTAGAGACAGGAGGATCTCTAGGGCCTGCAGGCTGCCAGTTTTGCTCCAGGTTCAGGTAGGATACAATTTGAATGCCTGTGTGGTCTGTGATCTACACGGTCCCAGCCTTCTCATTCTAGGATGTGGAAAGTTAGTTTATTATATCCAAGGCACTTCTCAGAAGTTAAATGATAAAAAGCTCCTTTCATGGTTTTGGAAGAACCAGGATTCTAACTACAAGATTTCATTCCAGGACACCTACCAAAAAGCAACCTACCCGAACAGTGAGGAGCAGAAAAACAAGAGACGCCAACCCCACCATCCGATCTGCAGTGAGCGTCACTACCAACCAGGAGTGGGTCTGTGACAACATTATAGACCCTAGTCACACCGCCGAATCACCTGTCCCAAAGACCACCGCTGAGAGCAACAAACACGATTCAAAGGATTCTGTGGCAGCTCGCCAAGGTCCTCAGGTACCGCTGGACCCTAAGAAACAAGGCAAACCTGTGGCTGTTCCTTTGAAGAAGGTTTTCTCAAACCTCAACTTAGCTGGAAGAGCGACTGCGCTTGAAGACCCCTTTGCCTCTGGCTGTTCCTGGATGGCATTTGGAGGAGGCGAAGAAGACAGTGGTGAGTCTGTAGGAATGATCTAGAAGAATTTTCCATTAAGTTATATTTGAGAGAATATATAACTTGATAATTTCCACGCCCTACATCTCCTGCCACATAAAAAAATATTAGTTCTTTTCGAACTCTGGCTTCATCTGCTCCCCTGCTCCCCTGGCTGCTGGACAAATCCAGTGCAGGGCAGAGAGCGGATCTTTACAGTTTGTCGTTCATCCTCTGTTTCCCAAACCAGAGGGTATTGTTTTTCTCTTTAAGAAGTTATAGAGGCTGGGAAGATGGTTGTGGGGCAAGCTTTAGGACTTGACTTTGATTCCTGGCACCCATGTAAAAAGTCAGGTGTAATCTCAGTGCTGGGGAGGCAGAGACAGGGGAATCCCTGAGATCTGCTGGCCAGTCAGTGTTAAGCTGAAGCGCTTCCAGATTCAGTGAGGCCCTGTGTTTAAAAAAAAAAAAGATGATGATACTGGACAGCTAACAAGTGACCTCTACACTCAGTGGGACATAAGCATGCATACACACACACACACACACACACACACGCACACACACACACGCACACACACACACGCACATGCGTGCGCACACCAAAAACTGCCAAAAGCAGAATGGGTTCTTCAGGTGTTGTTGGGGAGAGCATTTTGAGAAGAGCCCCAGAATGTTCAGGGCTTGGTCGAGGGGTCACTTGAAAGGGAGGCTGAGCTGAGTTGCCATGACACCGTAAGCACCTGCTCTACTAATTTTTCTTTTCTTTTCTCCCTGACTAGATACATGAACACCATGGAGCCTGGGTGGGGGGGTGATCTTCTTCCACTCCATATTAAAACTCCTAAGACCAAGACTCAAAAAGTGTCTTCTTCATACTTGAAACTGGCAATGGAATTTAAAATCAAAGAAAGGAAAACAAAGAATCCCATCCAATAGTCACCTCAACACCTACTTAAGAGAATGTTAATAACACCTTATTCTCTAGGGAAAATTTTGAGTAAAGAGGTTACTGTTTTCCTTGGAAAACAATCTTTATTGTCTCTTTCTTGGATTTTCTATCAGTGGGTATATGTCAAGGGATTCCTCACAGATTTTTTCATTAAATGATCATTTTCAGTCCTCCAAAAAATTCTATTAAAGGAATATCTCTATTCCAGGATCTATTTGAAACCCTAAAATAGTTGATTCTGGTTAATGGTGACACTACTTTGCCAGCTAGAAACAATCTGATCTCACAGAGACCATAACAGGAATTCGGAGTGCTCACTAGAGTTGGGTCAGAGTCTTCCTGATAGACATAACCCTGCTTCACTGCCTGTACATACGTACGTACGTACAAAAAATTCAGCTCTCATCTCTGTCCAGTGCTGATACTTCTAAATACCTGAACCAGAAGATGTAAGTTTGAAACCATCGATATCTTTCATGCTCTCATCAGTGCTTCGTCTTGAAGTACCTAGCGGGGTTCGTACAGCAAATGTGCATTGTTTTGTCACACTTGGCTGTTGTCTCACTGAGTACAATTAATTCCTTTAAATACTGCATGTTTACAGCTTTTTCCGTCTTGCTTCCCAGGCCTGTCCTTCAGTATACACTGGGGCCTGGGACCTATCAACAATATGTACTTACCTCTTCCGGTGCCAGGCACATGGACATACACACATGTGCATTCACACATGTATGCAGAGGCATTTCAATTGTATTTTAATAAATAAAGACTGCCTGAAGATCTGAGAGTAAAACAGCCACACTGATCAGCCTTACAAACCAGCCAGCAATGACATATACCTTTAATCCCAGTAGCCACACTAGTTGCCATAGAAATTGGGGGGTGCATGTCTTTAATCCCAGAACTAGAGAGGATTATAAGACAGGGGGAGACAGCTCTCAGACAGTCTCCTTCTGAGATTGCAGGAGGCAGGATCACCATTTCAGACTGAGGTCGAGGTAAGAGCCAGTGGCTGACTGTTTTGCTTTTTGGATCTTAAGGTTGAACCTCAGCTTTTTATTAATTGTGCTTCATGTGTATGCACACATAAAGGTGATATGATTTCACATTCCTTGTCCTAACACCGAGTTTCAGTGTTTAATCACAAATTGTTTAAAACAGGTCAATGTTCCTTTGGTCACCAATCTTGAATTCTCAAAAGGAAATAATTATATTATCTGATGCTTGGGCCTTTGCTACCTTTGTTCTGTGTTAGGGCAGGATGCCTTAGGTTTCAAATCTAGTTTTAGATACTTGTTCTTACATGTAGACAGCAAAAGGCAATCATCCTAAAAGATGAGCTTTTGATATTTTTCTATACAAATGTCATGCGCTGCAATACTTTCTGTAAGTATGTGTCATATGAAATAAACGTCTTGAATAAAACCAGCTTTGTTTTTGTTATAGTAATAAAACCACACTGGTGGTGGTATAGAGGTGATATCAAATGTCAAGCAAGCTATGAGTACAGGCCACTGGCAAGTCTAACCAACAATCAGATCTTCATCTTTCCTAGTCATCTGCTTGGTGATGTAGCAGAGTTCCAGGTTTGGAACAGGAAAATCAATCTTCAAACTCTGATCTTTTTGTTTGTTTTGGTTTTTTTCGAGACAGGGTTTCTCTGTGTAGACTCAACTGTCCTGGAACTTGCTCTGTAGCCTTGGCTGGTCTCGAACTCACAGAGATCTACCTGCCTCTGCCTCCTGAGTGCTGGGAATAAAGGCGTGCGCCGCCACCGCCCAGCAGAACGCTGGTCTTTTTTTCCTGTGTGAGCTGTTATAGCTGAAGCCCACTGGTAAAGTAGGTTTTTTGCTGTTATTTTTTATTGCAGTAAATAATGTAATAAACATGTGTCAATTATATTTTATTTATTTATTTATTTAGAGTCTGGATCTTGCTGTGTTGCCCAGTCTGGTCATGAACTTATGAATTCAAGCTGCCTTCTGGCTCAGCCTCCCATGTAGCTGCAGCTACGAGTCACTTCACCGAGTTAGAGACCACCACTTAACCCAAGTATGTATTTTTTAAAATATTTTTATGGTTTATTTAACTTTATCTTATGTGCATTGCTGTGAAGGCGTCAGATGTTCTGCAACTGAATCTTCAGACAGTTGTGAGCTGCCATGTGGGTGCTGGGAATTGAACCCGGGTCCTCTGGAAGAGCAGTCAGTGCTGTTCACCACTGAGCCATCTCTCCAGCCCTCCCAAGTATGTATTCACAATGTCGTGCAACCATCCCCCACTGTCTTGTTTCTAAGCATTCTCTAGAAAGAAACCCATTCCCTACACCCCTGGCCCTTTGAACCCTTAGATGTAGTATTTTCCTCTGATGAAAACATTTTTTACAACGGTTATGGGGAACATATGTGAGGTCATGTGGATGCACATGTGAGTGTGGACATGTGAGTGGGGGGATTGCACACGTTTATCTACATGTGGAAGCCAGTGATGAGTTTCACGTGCCACTCCTCAGGAGCCCTTCCCTTTAGGTTTTGAGATAGGAGCTGTCATTGAGGCCCGACAGGCTTACTGATTAGGCTAGCGCACCACGCTCCAGAGATGTGCTGGCTCCACTTCCCTGGCACAGAAGTTACAAGGAGGAGTCTAGCCACATCCCACCGTTTTAGGTGGGAGCCGGGATCAAATTCAGGTCTTACACTTAAGAGACAAGCACTTTACCAACTGAAATACCCATCTTGTTACCCATCTTGTAACTGCCCCCCTTATTTTCTTTATACATCTGAGGCAGTTTTTATGCTCCTATCTATGTACACATTTCTTCATGGCATTACTGTGGCTGCTTATGTCCTGATATGCCTGCGTTTAATTTTTTGGCTTCCATCGTTGTCACCATCATCATCGTGAGTGTGGGAACATGCATGCTATAGTGTGTTCATCGAGATCAGAGAACAACTTTTAGGAGTCAGTTCTCTCCTTTCACCTTTACATGCGATCCAAGAACCAAACTCAGATTATCAGGTTCTCATACCAAGTGCTTTACTGGACCAAGATTCTAACCTTTTTTTTTGGAGACACAGTTTCTCTGTGTAGCCCTCTAGAGACCAGGCTGGCCTTGAATTCAGAGATTCACCTACATCTACCTCCCAAGTGGTGGGATTAAAGGCCTGTGCCATCACCACCTGGTTCCAAGGTCCCAGTGCTAAAATCTGGTTTGTGCAGGTGTTGTAGCACAATGCCTGTAATCCTAGCACTCTAGGACACTCAAGATGGAAGATGGAAATTTCCACTGAACAAATCAGTTAATTCAATCTGTTCGTCATGCTTTACCTAAATTTTGCTTTGCTTTTTTTTTTTTTAAAGATCTATTTGTTATGTACACAGTGTTCTGTCTGTCTATATGCTTGCTGGACAGAAGATGGCACTAGATCTCATTACAGATGGCTGTGAGTCACCATGTGGTTGCTGGGAATTGAACTCAGGACCTCTGGAAGAGCAGTCAGTGCTCTTAACTTCTGAGCCATCTCTCAAGCCCAAGTTTTGCTTTTAATCCAGCTAGGCCCTTATTTATTCCCTAGTGTTTGTCATCTGGTGTTGATAAAGTGGCGGCAGCCATTCCCTGCTTATCATTCTAGAGCTTTTATTTTTTACCTTTCTTTCTTTCTTGCGGATGGGGTGGGGTGGGTCTCACAGCAGGCATGTAGGTCAGAGGACAAATCGCAGGACTGACTGCTTCTACCAGGTGGGGTCTGGGAATCCAAGTCAGGCCATCTGGTTTGGTAGCAAAGGCCTTTAGCCAACTGAGCTATCTTTTGGCAACGTTCTAGCATTTTCTATGTATATTTGAATCAGCATAATCTAAACAATCTCATTCCTGATGGCAGCAGGTCATATCAATCCATCTGCTCGAACCACTGTGTTCCGTTCACAGCTCCAAGGTGACAGACTTCCACAGATCACTCTCTGGGTTAGCCTCTTCACAGTCCTTCCTACTATTACGTCTTGTCCCCTAAGGGAAACAGATTCTTGACCACATCTAACAGACTCTTCAGGGCAGCACACTTCCTGTGCTCTTGTTACTATGGCCACATCATGCAGAACGATTCTTTTAACACATGGGTACTGTAAGGAATCCTACAAGGGACTCCAAAGACTGAACCCCCAGCTTAGGAGGCTGCCAGTTTGCAATCTGTGGCCCCATGTTGCCTCCACTCTGAACCTTTTTCCTTATCAATCAGGTGACAGGATTGTTACTGCAATCCTTGAGCATGTTCATTCCCAAACGCCACATACTCTATGGACTCTGTGGCCAAAGCTAGAGTATTAAGACATAAGCTTAGCTAGTACCGAAGGTCAGTGTTCTGTGTGTGGCACTTTCAGTGACTTCCCTAATTAGCCAAAGCAGTAGCCAGGTAGAGATGATTCTGGGCATTTTAGGCAACGTGGCTTTTCGTTAGCATAACTCAGGAGACCAGTTAAGGTTTTCTGGGTCAAGGCTTGGTGGAGCCAAGGCCAGGGAAGAGCAGGTGAAGTGACAGAAGCCGAGTTTAGTGCAGAATGGGAAGTAAAGTTAGGAAGGGACTGAGAACAATTAGAGAGGCCACTGGATTGGACGCCACATAACTCATGCTGGGGAGGGACTCTGGAACTCGGGGAAGGGAAGGAATGCTGGGCAGAACAGCAAGACAAGAGCTCGCAGAGGTGGATGGTGCCGGCATGGAGCAGAGGCAGGACCTTAGAAACCTAGATAGGCTCTCCTCAGTGGTTTCGGGGTATGTCCACAGGCACTCTCTCCGAACAGGGGCACACCCAAAGGGGATGCTCACATTCTTGATGTTCATAAGAGGCCTGGGTTCAATCTACACCAAAATGGAAAAAAAAGCTTGCGGTGAATTCTGACAGGCCTCATCCCTTCTCAGATGGCAAACGCTTCAGTTGATGAAGACCACGCTGACCCCAGTATCTCTCAAAATTCTGATACTCACAGAAGAGAAGGATTTTTTTATTCTGATAGGGGGCTTGTGAAAGCCCCACTGCCACCCCTGCAACCCGCGGTTAGCGGCCATGTAGCGTTAGAGCATCCTATGGGAGGAAGGACTGGGCACAGGAAGTGAGCACAGCTAGCACCCATAACCACTGCCATTGCTGGTGGCCCCTTGGGCCCTCTTAAAATAACCTCTAGGGTAGGGGAAGGGTGGATGGGTAAGAATATGAGCTTCAGGAGTTCCAACTCCAGAGGCACAGTATACCCAGCCAGCCTCTCCCTCTGCTCTCCCCTCTCTCAAGAGGAAACAATTGCCCAAAGCACGAGGCGGGTGCATGCAGGTAGGAAGGGCAGATGGGAAAGACACATGGATCTCAGGCTCTAGAGGGCCGAAGGGA